CCGCGACGGTAACGAACGAGTTGAATCCCGCAGCCACCGGTTCCGCGCATGCGCGGTTGAGAGGGAGCGGACCCCCTCCCACCGCTCTTAAAGGGGCAACGGCGGGCCTTAAGACGGCAATGGCGGCTCTTAAAAGGGCACCGGCCGCTCTTAAAAGGGTAGAGGCGGCTCTTAAAAGGGCAAGTGAAGAGGTGGGACCCGGAGTTTTCCGCCATCAAAATTAAAGACTAGGTTGGGAGGGAACTTTTGGATCATCGAGTCCAACGCTGCCCAAGCCACCAATAAATCCATGTCGCTCAGCACCACGTCTGCCCGGCTTTGAAAACCCTCCAGGGATGGTGACTCCACTTCTTCCCCTGGGGCAGCCTCCTCCAAGGTTTGAAAACCCTTTTGGCGACGAATTTTTTTCCTAATACCCATCCCAAACCTCCTCTGGCACAACCTGAGGCCGTTTCCTCTCCTCCTACCACTTGTAACTCGGGAGAAGAGACCACCACATCACCCCCCCCCCAATAAACCCCTTTCAGAGGAGGGCAAAAAATCATTGGGTTTGTATTATTGTGTTTTTTACCGGCAGGGAAAGCCCCTTCGCGTGGTGCTGAGGGCTTCATTCTGGTTTTGGAGGGGGTCTTTTTGTGATATTCGGCTGGAGGCACATGGTACCGAGGGAGAAAAAGGGCAGGGAGGGAAGAGCTGTGGGATGTGAGGGTTTGGGCGGAGGTTGGGAACGCTGGCGGGTCATGCCAAGGCAGTCAGATGGGCTGGCACCACCCCGGGAGGTGTTGATTCAGCGGGGTTTGCCCTCAGCTGCTGCGAAATTCCCTTCCTGGGCCTGGCCTCACCTGGGTTTACATGTGCTCTTAACCTTAAACACCCGCTGGGATGGGGCCAGGGCTCTGCGGCAGGCACCGAGCGGGCACCGAGCCCTGCAGGATGCTCAGGAGAAAACAAAACCTCCTCCTCCTTCTTCCTGGCACCGAAACAGGCCTCAGAGTCCTCTCTGCTGGACCTGGCATCACCTCGCTGGGCTACTTTCCCCCTCGGCCCTGCATCCCCCATCAGTGGTCCAGGGCACCCCCGGCTCCTCTATCCTGGTCGTGTTCACTTTTGGGGTGCCAGCACCCCTCTGCCCTCCTCCCACCTGCCTTTAAAATCCACCCTGTGGGGAAACTGAGGCAGAGAAGCCTGGCAATGCCCTGCTGCGGCACCGGTTAGAGCTTGGGGGGGGGCTGCATCAGGGAAGGGAGTGATATTTTCCTGTAGCCCCCCCCGAGGTCAAACCCTGCTCCCCAAAACCGGCCGTGCCCCGGAGGTGCCTCTTACCTTGGAGAGGATCTTTATTTTGTGAGCTTAATTGGTGGTTTTTCACATGCAATATTAATATACCTGGGGGCCAGGGCTCTGCGGCGGGCACCGAGCGGGCACCCAGCCCTGCAGGATGCTCAGGAGAAAACAGAACCTCCTCCTCCTCCTTCCTGGCACCAGAGCAAGGCTCAGAGTCCTCTCTGGAGGACCTGGCATGGACCTGGCATCACCTCACTGGGCTACTTTCCCCCTCGGCCCTGCATCCCCCATCAGTGGTCCAGGGCACCCCCAGCTCCTCTATCCTGGTCGTGTTCACTTTTGGGGTGCCAGCACCCCTCTACCCTCCTCCCACCTGCCTTTAAAATCTGCCCAGTGGGGAAACTGAGGCAGAGAAGCCTGGCAATGCCCTGCTGCGGCACCGGTTAGAGCTTGGGGGGGGGGCTGCACCAGGGAAAGGAGTGATATTTTCCTGTAGCAACCCCTGAGGTCAAACCCTACTCCCCAAAACCGGCCGTGCCCCGGAGGTGCCTCTTACCTTGGAGAGGATTTTTATTTGTGAGCTTAATTGGTGGTTTTTCACATGCAATATTAATATACCTGGGGGCCAGGGAAATGCTCCCCTGGAAAACCAGCCGGGCGGCTGCTGGAACGGCCTGGGGGTGCAGCAAAAATCCAGCTGGGACTCCCCTCCCTGGGGAAACACCTCCCTCTTCCCCTTCCCCAGCCGTAGCCAGAGGCGTCTGCAGCCCAAAAAAAAAGCAGGCAAGCCATGTGCAGGGCTTGGAGGACCCTAAAAGAAGGGGTTCCCCCATCCTGGGCTCGGTGGGGGACGCTTGTGTTATGGGACGCTGGCTCGAGCAGGACCCCCGGGCAGGAGGACACCAGCCGTGGGTGGGCACAGGGTGGCCGTGGGCAGACACAGACAGGGCTGGGTGTCACAGTGTGTTTATTGTGGGGAACGTTTGGGTGGGCACTGGGTGGGCACGTACACCTCGGGTGCTGCTGGGACACGCTGGGTCCTGCCCGGTGGTGACTCCACTTCTTCCCCTGGGGCAGCCTCCTCCAAGGTTTGAAAACCCTTTTGGCGACGAATTTTTTTCCTAATACCCATCCCAAACCTCCTCTGGCACAACCTGAGGCCGTTTCCTCTCCTCCTACCACTTGTAACTCGGGAGAAGAGACCACCACATCACCCCCCCCCCAATAAACCCCTTTCAGAGGAGGGCAAAAAATCATTGGGTTTGTATTATTGTGTTTTTTACCGGCAGGGAAAGCCCCTTCGCGTGGTGACGGGGGCTTCATTCTGGTTTTGGAGGGGGTCTTTTTGTGATATTCGGCTGGAGGCACATGGTACCGAGGGAGAAAAAGGGCAGGGAGGGAAGAGCTGTGGGATGTGAGGGTTTGGGCGGAGGTTGGGAACGCTGGCGGGTCATGCCAAGGCAGTCAGATGGGCTGGCACCACCCCGGGAGGTGTTGATTCAGCGGGGTTTGCCCTCAGCTGCTGCGAAATTCCCTTCCTGGGCCTGGCCTCACCTGGGTTTACATGTGCTCTTAACCTTAAACACCCGCTGGGATGGGGCCAGGGCTCTGCGGCAGGCACCGAGCGGGCACCGAGCCCTGCAGGATGCTCAGGAGAAAACAAAACCTCCTCCTCCTTCTTCCTGGCACCGAAACAGGCCTCAGAGTCCTCTCTGCTGGACCTGGCATCACCTCGCTGGGCTACTTTCCCCCTCGGCCCTGCATCCCCCATCAGTGGTCCAGGGCACCCCCGGCTCCTCTATCCTGGTCGTGTTCACTTTTGGGGTGCCAGCACCCCTCTGCCCTCCTCCCACCTGCCTTTAAAATCCACCCTGTGGGGAAACTGAGGCAGAGAAGCCTGGCAATGCCCTGCTGCGGCACCGGTTAGAGCTTGGGGGGGGGCTGCATCAGGGAAGGGAGTGATATTTTCCTGTAGCCCCCCCCGAGGTCAAACCCTGCTCCCCAAAACCGGCCGTGCCCCGGAGGTGCCTCTTACCTTGGAGAGGATCTTTATTTTGTGAGCTTAATTGGTGGTTTTTCACATGCAATATTAATATACCTGGGGGCCAGGGCTCTGCGGCGGGCACCGAGCGGGCACCCAGCCCTGCAGGATGCTCAGGAGAAAACAGAACCTCCTCCTCCTCCTTCCTGGCACCAGAGCAAGGCTCAGAGTCCTCTCTGGAGGACCTGGCATGGACCTGGCATCACCTCACTGGGCTACTTTCCCCCTCGGCCCTGCATCCCCCATCAGTGGTCCAGGGCACCCCCAGCTCCTCTATCCTGGTCGTGTTCACTTTTGGGGTGCCAGCACCCCTCTACCCTCCTCCCACCTGCCTTTAAAATCTGCCCAGTGGGGAAACTGAGGCAGAGAAGCCTGGCAATGCCCTGCTGCGGCACCGGTTAGAGCTTGGGGGGGGGGCTGCACCAGGGAAAGGAGTGATATTTTCCTGTAGCAACCCCTGAGGTCAAACCCTACTCCCCAAAACCGGCCGTGCCCCGGAGGTGCCTCTTACCTTGGAGAGGATTTTTATTTGTGAGCTTAATTGGTGGTTTTTCACATGCAATATTAATATACCTGGGGGCCAGGGCTCTGCGGCGGGCACCGAGCGGGCACCCAGCCCTGCAGGATGCTCAGGAGAAAACAGAACCTCCTCCTCCTCCTTCCTGGCACCAGAGCAAGGCTCAGAGTCCTCTCTGGAGGACCTGGCATGGACCTGGCATCACCTCACTGGGCTACTTTCCCCCTCGGCCCTGCATCCCCCATCAGTGGTCCAGGGCACCCCCAGCTCCTCTATCCTGGTCGTGTTCACTTTTGGGGTGCCAGCACCCCTCTACCCTCCTCCCACCTGCCTTTAAAATCTGCCCAGTGGGGAAACTGAGGCAGAGAAGCCTGGCAATGCCCTGCTGCGGCACCGGTTAGAGCTTGGGGGGGGGCTGCATCAGGGAAGGGAGTGATATTTTCCTGTAGCCCCCCCCGAGGTCAAACCCTGTGGGCTGGCACCACCCCGGGAGGTGTTGATTCAGCGGGGTTTGCCCTCAGCTGCTGCGAAATTCCCTTCCTGGGCCTGGCCTCACCTGGGTTTACATGTGCTCTTAACCTTAAACACCCGCTGGGATGGGGCCAGGGCTCTGCGGCAGGCACCGAGCGGGCACCGAGCCCTGCAGGATGCTCAGGAGAAAACAAAACCTCCTCCTCCTTCTTCCTGGCACCGAAACAGGCCTCAGAGTCCTCTCTGCTGGACCTGGCATCACCTCGCTGGGCTACTTTCCCCCTCGGCCCTGCATCCCCCATCAGTGGTCCAGGGCACCCCCGGCTCCTCTATCCTGGTCGTGTTCACTTTTGGGGTGCCAGCACCCCTCTGCCCTCCTCCCACCTGCCTTTAAAATCCACCCTGTGGGGAAACTGAGGCAGAGAAGCCTGGCAATGCCCTGCACACCCGCTGGGATGGGGCCAGGGCTCTGCGGCAGGCACCGAGCGGGCACCGAGCCCTGCAGGATGCTCAGGAGAAAACAGAACCTCCTCCTCCTTCTTCCTGGCACCGAAACAGGCCTCAGAGTCCTCTCTGCTGGACCTGGCATCACCTCGCTGGGCTACTTTCCCCCTCGGCCCTGCATCCCCCATCAGTGGTCCAGGGCACCCCCGGCTCCTCTATCCTGGTCGTGTTCACTTTTGGGGTGCCAGCACCCCTCTGCCCTCCTCCCACCTGCCTTTAAAATCCACCCTGTGGGGAAACTGAGGCAGAGAAGCCTGGCAATGCCCTGCTGCGGCACCGGTTAGAGCTTGGGGGGGGGCTGCATCAGGGAAGGGAGTGATATTTTCCTGTAGCCCCCCCCGAGGTCAAACCCTGCTCCCCAAAACCGGCCGTGCCCCGGAGGTGCCTCTTACCTTGGAGAGGATCTTTATTTTGTGAGCTTAATTGGTGGTTTTTCACATGCAATATTAATATACCTGGGGGCCAGGGCTCTGCGGCGGGCACCGAGCGGGCACCCAGCCCTGCAGGATGCTCAGGAGAAAACAGAACCTCCTCCTCCTCCTTCCTGGCACCAGAGCAAGGCTCAGAGTCCTCTCTGGAGGACCTGGCATGGACCTGGCATCACCTCACTGGGCTACTTTCCCCCTCGGCCCTGCATCCCCCATCAGTGGTCCAGGGCACCCCCAGCTCCTCTATCCTGGTCGTGTTCACTTTTGGGGTGCCAGCACCCCTCTACCCTCCTCCCACCTGCCTTTAAAATCTGCCCAGTGGGGAAACTGAGGCAGAGAAGCCTGGCAATGCCCTGCTGCGGCACCGGTTAGAGCTTGGGGGGGGGGCTGCACCAGGGAAAGGAGTGATATTTTCCTGTAGCAACCCCTGAGGTCAAACCCTACTCCCCAAAACCGGCCGTGCCCCGGAGGTGCCTCTTACCTTGGAGAGGATTTTTATTTGTGAGCTTAATTGGTGGTTTTTCACATGCAATATTAATATACCTGGGGGCCAGGGAAATGCTCCCCTGGAAAACCAGCCGGGCGGCTGCTGGAACGGCCTGGGGGTGCAGCAAAAATCCAGCTGGGACTCCCCTCCCTGGGGAAACACCTCCCTCTTCCCCTTCCCCAGCCGTAGCCAGAGGCGTCTGCAGCCCAAAAAAAAAGCAGGCAAGCCATGTGCAGGGCTTGGAGGACCCTAAAAGAAGGGGTTCCCCCATCCTGGGCTCGGTGGGGGACGCTTGTGTTATGGGACGCTGGCTCGAGCAGGACCCCCGGGCAGGAGGACACCAGCCGTGGGTGGGCACAGGGTGGCCGTGGGCAGACACAGACAGGGCTGGGTGTCACAGTGTGTTTATTGTGGGGAACGTTTGGGTGGGCACTGGGTGGGCACGTACACCTCGGGTGCTGCTGGGACACGCTGGGTCCTGCCCGGCAGTGGGACACGGGCAGAGGGAGCTCTGGACATGGCACGGAGGGGGATGGGAGAGGGCTAGCCCTGCTTCTGCGGGTGGCATCCTGCCAGCCCAGAGCATCCTGCTGGTCTCGAGCACCCCGTCCTCCTCAGGGCATCCCATCCTCCTCAAGGTATCCCATCTGCGTCCTCCTCAAGGCATCCCATCCTCCTCAGGGCATCCCATCTGCATCCTCCTCAGGGCATCACACTGGCCTCGAGCATCCCATCCTCCTCAGGGCATCCCATCAGCTCCCTCCTCAGAGCATCCCACCCACACTGGGCACCCCATCGTCCTCAGGGCACCCCATCCACATCCTCCTTGGAGCATCCACCTGGCCTTGAGCATCATCCTCCTCAGGGCATCCCATCCTCCTCAGGACGTCCCATCCACACCCTCCTCAGAGCATCCCACCCACTTTGGGCACCCCATCATCCTCAGGGCACCTCATCCACATCCTCCTCAGAGCATCACACTGGCCTTGAGCATCATCCTCCTCAGGGCATCCCATCCACATCCTCCTTGGAGCATCCCATTGGCCTCGAGCATCATTGTCCTCAGGACACCCCATCCACATCCACCTCGGAGCATCCCACCCACTTTGGGCACCCCATCCTCCTCAGGGCATCCCATCCACATCCTCCTTGGAGCATCCCATTGGCCTCAAGCATCATTGTCCTCCTCAGGGCATCCCATCCACATCCTCCTTGGAGCATCCCATTGGCCTCAAGCATCATTGTCCTCCTTAGGGCAGCCCATCCACATCCTCCTCAGAGCATCACACTGGCCTCGAGAACCCCATCCTCCTCAGGGCACCCCATCCACACCCACCTTGGAGCATCCCACCCACTTTGGGCACCCCGTCCTCCTCAGGGCATCCCATCCACACCCTCCTCAGAGCATCCCACCCACCTTGGAGCATCCCATCATCCCGGGAGCACCCCAGGGTCCCAGGAGCACCCCATCCAGCCCTGCCCATGCACATCCCTCTCCTGTGCCCCCAGCCCTCCCTGCCACAAGCCTCCAGCCCATTGCCTGTCCCCCCCCCAGCCCTGCCAGCCCCCCCAGTGCCACAGAGCTGGTACCCAAGGACATCGCTCTGCATGGTCAAGGGCATCCCACCCTCCTGCCCGCATCCCACGGGATGCTGGATGGGGAGGCTGTGGGGGCTGCAAAACTGGGAGGACCCGGGAGGAGGTGGGAAACTGAAGCTCATGGCTTCCCCCAGCAAGCCGTGGGGCTGGGTGCTGCCCTGGGGTGGGTGAAGATGGGGAGAAGAAGAGGGGGTGGTGGTGGCACCGGGCTGGGACCACAGGGCAGGGCTGCAGGCAGGAGGAAGGGGGTGGTGGGCGCATGCGTGTCCTCAGGCTCTCAGGGTTGGGGATTGGGGGGAAAGGCAAGAGCTGTTGACCCCCACGGGCAACCTGGGCTCTCCATCCTCGCCTAGAGGCTGAGGTCCACCACCACGTGCCGGTAGACCAACGTGTTGGCCTTGAAGCTGGGAGCCAAGAGGAGCTGGACGTCAGACGCCGGCACGTAGCGGAAAGCCCGGGGGGCCTGAACCGAGAGCTCCTGGAACTTGACGAATTTCTGCTTCTCCTCTTCCCACAGGTAGACGTGGGTGAAGGAGAAGTCACTGCCCAGGGCCAGGTACTGCCGTTGCTCCACCAAGAAGGGCTGCATCACCATGGAGCCGCGGGACGGCAGCGTCTGGAGCTCCACGAAGCGCTGCCCTTCCCACCTCACCACCTTGGAGTCGCCGATGTAGCGGCTGAGGCAGAGGAACTGGTCCCTCTTCACCTTGAAGTGCTTCACCATCTGCACGTCCAACATCTCCCCCACCTCCCCCTGAGGGACGAATTGCTTCTGCGCCCGGTTCCACTGGTAGATGACGGGGGCTTGGGAGCTGCTGGAGATGATCAGCCGGGGTTTGCCCTCGTTCTCCACGTACTCCACGTCGGTGTCGCGGTGCCAGGCGTGGAGGGCTTGGTGGGAGTAGAAACCGTTCTGGTTGAGGCGGTAGAGGCTGGTGGAACCCGCCTTGGAGCTGTCGGCGATGACGAAGTACCAGTCGCCTTCGATCTGGAAGGCTTCGATGTCGTTGGGCTTGCGGGTCTTCTGGCTGTCGATGTCCTGGATCTTGATGAACTTGTCCACGGCGGTGTCCCAGCGGTAGATGTAGGAGCCACCAAAGAGTTGGGCCACCACCACGTACAGCTGGTCCTGGGCCACGATGGGCTTGCAGTGCACGGCCGAGTGAGCTGCCCGGGCAGGACCACGTCACCTTGGGGTTGTTTCCTCCTCCAATCCCCCCCCAAAAATGGATATGGGGGTGGTGGTGGTGGTCCCAACCCTAGGATGCCTTACCAGGGATGCGGTCGAAGTCACGCAGCTTGCGCTCCACGTAGTCCCACTTGAGGATGGCACAACTGCTGGCACTGGGCTGTGCCAGGGCGACGTAGAGGTCGCTGGCGTAGGTGAAGGGCTCGGCCGACACCGACTGGAAGGGCAGGACCTGGTGGACCACGAAATCTGGTGGGGGAGAAGCGGTGGTGAAGAAGGGTCCGGCCACCCAACTGGGTGTGTTGGGGGGCGGGTGATGGGTGGCCGGGGTCCCCTTACCCGTGGTGATGCACTGGAAGTCACCCAGTGCCAGGTCCCGGATCCGTTGGCCCTCAAATTGCCCGGGGCTACTGCAGAAGACGGCGGGGACGGTGGTGTTGGTGCTCTCCAGCCACTCCACCAGCCACTTGATCTTGCAGTCGCAGGCCAGCGTGTTGCCCCGAAGGTCCCTGCCGAGGATGGCACCCCGTCACATCCTCCATGACACAACACCCAGCACCCAAACCCCCCAAAACCAGGGGTATCACCCTCTCCCTGGTTGTCCCCAGAGCTGGGATGGTCTTACAGGTCACTCAAGATGTCCAGCGGCTTGAAGAGACCCCGAGGCAACGTCTGCAGGTTATTGTTGGCCAAGGACCTGAATGGGGAGTGGGAGGGTGGTGGTGGTGGGGGGACAGGGGAGGTGACACAGCCCTGGCCACCCTGAGGGTGTGAGGACCATCCTCCATGTCCCCAGGGACCCCCCTCATCCTCCAGGTACTCACAGGTGGGTCAGGGACTTGAGCCCACGGAAAGTGGCCTTGGAG